CCCCACGGAAGGTGCTGGACACTGGTGTGGGATCGTCTCCCGGAGCTCTGCTCGCCGGAGCTCTCTTTGCTCAGCTCTTGTTCTTGCCATCGATTGCCTATGGCAACTGGTCTAGCAGTTTCAGCTCTCCCTGTGCTGCCTGTTTTAGTGGAAGATTTTGCCTCAAATAATCTTGTCAAGAAGATCAAGGATCCCAAGATCACCTTTGTCCTCATCTACTCACTGACTGGGCAGAAGGAGGTGACTAGTCACCCCATTACAGAGCCCTGAGCGTAGCCCTAGCTCTCCCCTAGCACTCACTGGCTCTGTCTGCTGTGATGTCCCTTTGCCAGGTCCCTTTCCTGTGGGTTACAGGCACCTGAGGCTGCCGTTTCCCTAAAAATGTAAAGAAAGCAAAACCAACATGAAACACAAGACTGCATTTCCTACCACAGCATGGTTCTGCCACTGACCACACAATGTTATACCAACTTCTGCTTCCTGTGGCTCTGAGGGAGACACCTGGGTCTGGGGCCACCATCCTGCACAAGCTGCACTGATCTTTGGAAGCCTGAACCCAGGGAGGAAAATGAAACCCACGTCAAAGGGCCTGGATTGGGGAGCTGATCTTCACGCCCTGTTAGCTCCGCACCCACTCCAGGATGAGCTCTGCAGGGCATGATGCAGGGCACCTGTCTGTGAAAATGACTTGGTCATCAAACTGCTCCAAGGACATTTGTGGTGGCCACTGATCATCGGGTCATTTATTGTATGGTTTACCCTCACTTCTGCAGGTTCTGTCCCCCACTCTGTCAACATTTTTCTCTTACACTGCTGAAAATATCCCATATTGCTGACCTGTGGAGCAAACCGGCACCCTCAAAAGCCTTGTCCTTGGCTCCTCTCGGCCTGGTTCTCTTGGCCACTTCCTGCTCTCATCCTTTGCTTCGGGTCCATTTGCTGTCCTCTTCAGGTGTGGCTTCCTGCCCTGGGGTCCTTCTCATCCCCTCCTCCTCACCCTTCTTGGGGAGCTCTCAGCTCTTCCTTGCAGACACCCAATCCTGAGCCCCACTCCTCTCTCTAGAACCCCTGCTTTCTTCCCAGCTGCCAGCTGCCAGAGAGAAGGGGGTGGACCGGAGTGAGGGGAGCCGCACATAGGCTGTGGTGGCTACTTCCACTGAACACCGACTTTAGTTACAAAAACAGTGCTGAGCTGATTCAGGAAGACCACGGCACACAGTGTGTGGATCAGACATTCTTGTCCCACCAGAGAGCAGCTTCTACTCCCTCTGCTCCTGGCTGGTGTGCTGAGGGGAATCTGGCAGAGGTTGGGTCAGGTCAGAGTCCCCCTCCAGGGCATCTTTGAGCACTGCTGGTGTGTGTGTGGGTCTCATGTGCACCTCAAATTTAACTGGCTAGAGCCAAGTGTGTCACTTGCCTCCCCAAACTGGTCTTTTATACCATTCCTTATTTCAGATAAAAGCACCGGAATCTACATAGTCATTCTGGCTGGAACCCTGGACTCCTCCTCCACTTTCCCCATCATAGTTTTTCCCACATCAGGCCCTCAGGCTCTGCTTTGATCCCGCCCTCCTCAGCCCCTGCTGGCTCCACCTCCTGGCTTCTGGGGCTGCAGGGCCTGCTGCAGGTCCTTGGCTCCTCTCGGCCTGGTTCTCTTGGCCACTTCCTGCTCTCATCCTTTGCTTCGGGTCTAGAGAGAGGAGTGGGGCTCAGGATTGGGTGTCTGCAAGGAAGAGCTGAGAGCTCCCCAAGAAGGGTGAGGAGGAGGGGATGAGATGGATGCCTGTGGCTATCTTTTCTCCCTCCTCTGGAAAGTCTAGTGCTGCTTCTAGAGAAAAAGAAAGTCTGCTATGGACCCACTGTGGTGCACACGGAACCCCGGTACTGAGTAGGCCACACTGTCCTGACTGGGCAGAATTGTTTCCCCAGGGAACTGGATGTAAAGAGTGGGCGCTGGTGCAAGCAGAGCAGGAAGAACCAGGGGGATTTCACTCTGAGGTCTGGGGCTTTTGTAACCGCTGGGAAAGCACATGTGCCTGTTGCTGGGGTTGCTGAAGGACTGGGTATAAGCGAAGTGCCCCTGGCTGCCTCGTTGCCAGAGGGAGGAGAGCTCAGCCAGAGGCAGAGAGCTGGGCATGGAAACGTCCACTGCATCCCGCCACATCCGAATCCCACAGGCCCCGCAGCATCAGTCTGTTTCAAGCAGTTTCATGGCTTCCTGAACCTGCACACATCTGAACACACAAGCCACCTCTTCACCGCCACCGTCCCTTTGTGAAGCAGAAGCACCAGTGCCTGCCCACCTGCCAGCCTCTGGCGGGAGCCTGCCTGCAGTGTGCTCCCTTGGGGGCTGCCACCCTTGCCTCGGGCCTTGACTCTGCACCCCGCATTTTCTCGTAAGAAGAATCTCAGACACGAGCAAGAGCGACGTTTTTACAGGGATAACCTTGAGTCCTCACTAAGCTAAAAAATAAGTCATCCCCAGGCTTCAATACTTTATTTTTAGCAGCAGAATTTTTTCCACCACGGCCCTCACGATGGATGCTATGAGAACCTCGTGTTCCTAGCTGTGTCCAACTGCGTCACTGCATCTCCAGGACGACTTCCTGGGGGTGTGGGGGAAGCTGTGAGAGGGGCCCACGCCACCACACTCCTTCCTCAAGCACTCCTGGGGTCTGGAAAGGATTGCACAGCAGGAGCTCTAAGTTTTTAGAAACAGAGACATGAATCTTGGAAAAGAGAACACATCTCCTTCATGTATTCATTTATTCTTTTTCACACTGAGCTACATCTCCAGCCCATTTTTTATTTTTTACTTTGAGACAGGGTCTTGCTAAGTCGGGAAACTTTCCATCCTCCTGCCTCAGCCTCTCAGAGTGCTAGGATTACTGGTGTGTGCCACCATATCCTGCCTGTTTGTTCATCCCTTAGTGCCTGCTATGTGTCAGATTCTGCTAACAGACTTAGGACTCCTGCCCGCAAGGAACTGTTATCAGAAGGGAGTAGACAGAGAGCAAGTAAAAAATAAAGACACTGCCGAGTGCTAAGTGTGGTGCAGAGTTTCATGTTCAAGGATGGGACCCAGGCAGCAGCCCTGCGTTCCATGACAGAAGCCGGGAAGCTTCGGTCTGCACACCAGGAAAGACCGGCCATGCATGCTGATGAGTGTTGACCGGTGACAACAGGTGACTCACTGACTACTCGCCACATTTTGCATTTGCTGCACATTAATTTCCAAATTCGTCTGTTAGTACTTAAAAATCCTTGCTAGGTGTGACAGCTCACACCCGTAATCCCAGCACTCTGGGAGGCTGAGGAAGGAAATGGCAAGTTTGTGCCCAACCTGGGCAACTTGGCAATTTAATGAGCCTCTGCCTCAAAATGAGAAGGGCTGGGGATGTTGCTCAGTGTGAAGGGCAGGTGCTCAGTCCCCAGTACTGAAAAAATTCCTATTTTCCCCAAAGCTATCCTTTTACAAAGTGCTGAAAAGCCTCATAGAAAAGTACAAGTTTTCACTTATCAGCATGAAAAAAACTCCTCAAGGATTTCATAATGGAAAAATGCTTTGCTTGTCCCTACGCAGGACAGTTCAGGGATAAGCAAGCATGAGACACGTGGAAAGTCCCACATGGCTCCAAAAAGAGCAAGTCTTTTAAATTTTACAAAACACTAGGTTTCAATGTGACATTTTTATACACATGTGTTCTGATAGCCACTGTCTCCTTAACCTCCGTACCTTTCTTCCCTCCTCGTCTTTGTTCCCACTCCTTGTGCAATAATAGATCTCCCCCTACTTCCACATCATCTTTCACACCCTGCATAGTAGGAAGACATGTCTTTCCGAGTCTGACCTCTTCCATTTAACATGGTGGTCTCATTGTAGATGACATAATTTCATTTTTCTTTACAGCTAAATAATACTCCACCATATATGCACCACATTTTCTTTATCCATTCATCTGTCAATGGGCATCTAGGCTGGTTCCATATATGGGCTGCTGTGATAAACACAGGTATGCAGGTATACCTACAGTATGCTGATTTTAATTCCTTTGGGGATATACCAAAGAATGGTATAGCTGGGCTATAAAGTAGTTCTACTTTTAGCTTTTGAAAAGCTACCATTGGATGGTTGTAGTTGTGTGGGTTTGTCTCTGTGTGTTCTACTCTATCCCACTAGTCTATATGTGTATTTTTGTGCCAGTACCATACTGTTTTTGTTTCTTTTATTTGTTTGTGTTTTGGTTTTTCTCCGGTACCGGGAACCGAACTCACGACCTTGCGCTTGCCAGGCAGGCGCTTTGCCGCTGAGCTAAATCCCCAGCCCTGTTTTTGTTTCTTTGGCTTTATAGTATAATCTGAGGTCAGGCATTATGACACCTTCAACCTTATTCTTTTTGCTTAGGGTTGCTTTTTCTCCTCTGGGTATTTTGTGTTTCCATATACATTTTAGGATTGCTTTTTCTAGTTCTATAACGAATGTCACTGGTATTTTGATGGAGACTGCACTGATGCTGTAGTTTGCTTTTGGTAATTGTGGCCATTTTAATGATATTAATTCTGCTGACCCATGAATGAGGAGGTGTTTCCATCTTCTACAATTTCTTCCGTGTTCTGTCATTTTCATTATAGAGGTTTCTCACTTCCTTGGTTAGGCTGATTTTTTTTTTTTTTTTTTGGTTTTTCTCCGGTACCGGGAACCGAACTCATGACCTTGCGCTTGCCAGGCAGGCGCTTTTGCCGCTGAGCTAAATCCCCAGCCCCAATAGTATTGTTTTGGTTTTTTTTTTTTGGTTTTTCTCCAGTACCGCGAACCGAACTCACGACCTTGGGCTTGCCAGGCAGGCGCTTTTGCCGCTGAGCTAAATCCCCAGCCCCAAAATACATTTTTTTTTTTTTTTTTTGGTTTTTCTCCGGTATCGGGAACCAAACTCACTACCTTGCGCTTGCCAGGCAGGCGCTTTGCCGCTGAGCTAAATCCCCAGCCCCTTAGGCTGATTCTTAAGTATTTTATTTTTTGAGGCTATTGTGAAGGACACTGTTTTCCTGGTTTCTTTCTCTCTCAGCTGTCCTGCAGAATCCTGTTCTTCCTTCTCATTATATGATGTGAGTGGTCTATCTGTTTGGGGCAAGAGGATGACATTGAGAGGTGGGTTCTGGTGGTGACTGTCTGTCCACTGTCACCATGGATCAGGGTGTTTGGGGCTGGCCTAATCCTTGAGAAGCCAGTTACATAGAATGATTAGCCCTACGTAAGCTTTGGAGGCAAAGCACACCCAGGTTTGAATTGTGGCTTTATCTAGTGCTTACCAGTTGTAGGACACTGGTATGGTATTTCCCCCTTCTAGACTGGGTTTCTTTGTCCATAAAGACACTGGCATTAGTGCCCACCTCATAGGATTGTTAGAACTAAAGGGCCTAATGCACAAGAACACCTCTCCAACACTAGGCACTTGAAAATGATGAGTGGAGAATTTATTGTAGTAAGTGGAGTGAAAGTAGCTCCACTACCATGTATGACAAAGCAAAAATGAGTGTGTTAGGGCACGACAGGGTCGAGGTTAACCAGAGTCCCTTGAAGAGGCCAACAAAGCTCAGGACTGTGCATTCAAAGGACTTTATCTGTGCACACGTGTGTGTGCACGTGTGTGCGCTTGTGTTTTAAATCACATATCTATTACACGTAACAGATACACTTTCTCTAGCAATAATCTTGTTTTTTTCAAAAGGCAATAATACTAAAGATTAAGACACATTTTGAAACAGTGAATTCCTAGCATGACCATCTTTTCCAAAGCAAAGCCTTCTTTTTCAGGAAGAATCACATCGGCCATCACCACGAGCGAGCACAAACACCTACACACCCACAGACACGGAGACCAGGGCGGGGGAAGAGTGATGTGTTTCCATAGTGGGGAAAACATCTCACAGAGACAGTGGGAAGCAGTAATCAATTCTGGTTTTATGTGTCACATACATAAATAAATAAAGTGCTATCAAATGCTTAAAATGGGCCTGCTCTGATTTACAATCCATCAAATTCTGCTATCAAAACATTTAGAGAGGCTGTGAGACTAGAGGGATTTGTTATATCGACATTTCCTGGTGTAACCTTTCCGTTTCCCTTCTTTCTGGGATTTGCGCACACTCCATCTTCCTGGGGCTACATGAGGGGCATGATTTCTCTGCTGCCCAGGCATGGATCAGAGCGAGACAGGGCTTTTCAGCAGCTGTTAGACTGTGTCTGTTAGATCTCTTTCTCTCTCGCACTCCAAGCCCCACCCTCTGTGTCCCCATACGCATGGCTTTCTCCTGAACCCTTTCATCTGTACTTGAAGAGTCTCCAATTCATCTCAAAGCCTTGGACAAAGGATGACGTTTCCTCTTATTTTTGGGCAGAAAGTCTACCCGAAAGCCATCTAAGCGCATCTTTGCATCTCTCCACCTGGGACTTGGGGTGTAGGAGGCTGAAAAATGCCCCCAGCCCAGGACAGCCAGGCCCTAACCTCTGGAACAAGGGAATGTTCCTTGTATGGCACAGGGAACTCTGACATGGTGACTAAGTGCTAGACATGGAGAGGCCACACTGGACTGTCCAGCTGAGCCCGACATGTGACCACAATGTCCCTGTAAGCAGAGGCAGAGAAGATGGGGCCACAGAGGAGAAGGAGGTGTGGTGATGGGAAAGTCAGGCGCCTGAAGTGCTCAGAGACGGAGCGAGGTACCACTTGCTGAGGAACTCAGGTGGCCACAAGCAGCAGGAAGAGGCAAGGACAAGACTTCCCTGGAGCCCGGGGAGTCCGACTGTCAATTTCTGATCCCCAGAGCGGTAAGAGAATAAATTAGTGGTGTTTTCAGCCACTGAATCTGTGGCAATTTGTTCCAGCAGCCACCGGAAGTGACACAGTGGGCAAGCTGATCTTACATGGCAGACTGGCACCACCCACCTTGGGGAGGGCCTCCTCTAGGCAGAAGCAGAGGCCTAGTTCCCCCTGGCCCTGGTGCCACTGAGGTGCTGCCCTTGGGACTCAGCACAGCCTGAGCTTTGGTGCTGGCGCCCAGCCTGTGAGGCAGGTATGCAAAGGCTTTGCCCTGGTGGGGTGAGGACTGCCTGTGGGCTACAGTAGGGGGACAGTCCTCAGAGAAAGGCGCATACCTGCTGCCCACATTGTTTCCTCTACCCCAAAACAGGCTCCAGACTTATCTATCCTCACTTCGCGATGACTTTGGTCCAGAGCCCATCTTTTCTCCTCTGGGCCTCTCGCCTGCTTTCTCTTGGGCTCTGGCTCACATGCCACTCCTGTTTAGTCATTCACTCTCAGAGAGATCTCTGGAGATCTGAGATCAGGTCTGCTAAAGACCCTGGTGCCTAGGCCACACCTCAGACCAATCCTCTTAGAACCTCAGGTCTGGGGCCCGGCGTCCACCTTTCTGAAATTCCTCCAGAGATGCTGATGGCGGCTGGGGGTGGGGACCCCCGCCGGAAGCCTCCTGCATTGCAGTGAGGAAGGCCTGTGCTCCACTCTGGGAGCTGGCGGGCCGCCTCTTGAGGCTCTTGGCGCTGGGCCAGTTTCTAAGCTAGCCTCACAAATATTTTCCTTCTCATTTCCTAGACCGAATGAGGGGGTGGGCATGACGGCACCACCTGCTTTCTCCACTGCCCTTGTCCCACCTCCTTCATTCCTGTTTTAAAAGATCATACACAGGACGAGTGTCACTGTGATTTGAAGGTGTCCCCACAAAGTCCCTGGGCTGGACACTTGATCCCTATATTCCTGCGTGAATGGCACTTGGAAGTGGGACTCTGGGAAGTGCTTAGCATCAGGTGAGGCCCCACGATGCCATCAGTGGCTTTAGAGAGGCAGAGCGTCCTGGGCTGGCACACTCCCCACCTCACCACATGGGGGGCCTCTGCCATGTTATGACGCAGCAAGGGCGCCTTGCCAGAAGCCAGAACCATGGACGACAAGAAATAAATTAATTCCTAGTCTCATTTGTTCAGTTGTAGCAACAGAAAATGAACAAAGACGAGTGTCCTGTGGAAGGTCACTGACCTACAGTAGGTCGGTCTCCGGGCCTACGGCTAACGGAGGGAGACAGGAAGTGAAAGAGGAAGCCTGAGGTGCAGACTCTAGCTCCTCCAATGCAGCCAGCAGTGTGCCACTCCTGCATCGGCACCCATGGCTGCTGGAGGCTATGGGCACCAAGCTCTGCGCATGACTGCACCCAGACACTACGAAACAGCTTCAGATAAGTGCCTGAAAACCTAGAGAACAATGGGTCGCAGTGTAAACCTGGGCCTGGTCTTGCCCAGCCCACCCGCTGAACAAGTGGGGAAGTGGAGGACTGTGAGGTGTCACTGCCCAGAAAAGATACACAGGTGGGGGGTGGGTCCCGGCAGGTGGCCTTTGGCAGCCCACTGGGAGGCATTCCCCACCTGAACCTGGGCTGAAGTCCAGGCCGGGTACCTGTGGTTACACCAGGTCAGCTCTGGGCTGAGGGTGACAGTTTGGTTGACCTTCCCAGAGTGCTGTCTTGGTGGGTAGACCAGGACTAGGTGCACAGGTGCACCGGCCACAGTGCCCACTTTGGGAGGGCTCTTGATCACGTACTTGGCCTGCATCAGAAAGCAGGAAAAGCTGTTTGTGTGATCACTTTCATCACGAAGGCAAAATTCTGCCTGAGCCTCTGCAGTGTGGAAAGGTTCTAGACAGACGTGACTTTAATTTACACTTGGAAAGAAACCTTAGGGGCTGCCCACTTTCCCCAAAGGCCTCCTTCACATCTCTAAGTAATTTTGAACCCTGATGCTCTTTTGCAGAAAATCGTGGTCTGCTGGTTCCTTCCAACAGTCCTCCCCTCTCCTCTACACCAACACAACAGCAGCAGTGCAAAGCGAAGAAGCGTCCCTCAGGTCCCAGCTGAGCAATACAGTCCACAGGACAGTTCTACTGGCATCCACTTGTGTCAGTCTCATAGGCCGGAGAGAACAGCAGGAAATATTAGAACCTGTTTTCCCAGGAGGCCATGAAGGCTGCCCAGAGGTTTCCTTCAGGGATGCAGCTCAGAGCCACCATTACTCCAGCTTTCTGCTGGTACCTTCTGGTTTGTACAAACAGGTAACAGGATGGCTGTCACCTTTCTTTGGATAAACAAACAGGATATAAAGTGCTGAGCTGATGTGCTGAACTGGAACAGGGACAGAGGCCAGGACCTCTTTTGGCCTCCATGGTGGAACTTTGTGTAGGACAGAGAATTAGCTAATTATTAACAATCACATGCTTTTGTGTAGTTAGAGCTATATTAGGAATTGCTGTACTCTCTAGATCAGGCTGAGAAACAGTGAGAGCTATGGGCACGCGAGGCCAGGCAACAAAATAGTGCTGAATGGCCTTGTTAAGATGGGGGGCATTGGGCCGGGGATTTAGTTCAGCGGCACAGTGCCTGCCTGGCAAGCGCGAGGTCATGAGTTCGATTCCCAGTACCGGAACACAAACAAGATGGGGGGCATGTCTCTGCGACTGCTCCATCTTTTCCCAGAGGGATTCCCACTTTTAATCTTAACACCCCAATGGTGTAAAACCCTGGGAAAGGAAGTTGGTCAGCTGGAAAGAAATATATGCTGAAGGATATGAAGAAGCAAAGCCTTAAACACAGATGGCTGAGGGAATGGGCTGGACCGGTCCAGGAACACTGGCTGATGAAAGCAGGCAGACAAGGAAAATAACTTAAAAAGTTAGTGTGGCCAGTGTCACAGAAGTGGTGTTAGAAAAACATTCAAATCACTCTCTGCCTCATGGGGATAACAGGAAGGAATCCTCACAAGATTGCTGTGGGAATCAAGTAATACAGTCCCCTGAAACAGCATAATATGACTTGGTCTATAGGAAACATTCAATATGTTGACTTATCAATAAGATACATAATAAAAATAATGTAACAGTAATAAAAGCAGTAGGATACCCTTATCTATGTGGTAAGCCCAACCTATTCCAAGCCAAAACAGTGATGTCCTGGTTTCCTTGTTTCCTCTCTTTGGCTCCATCTCTGGGGCATCAAACTCTCAGTCATGGGGCCAATAAATATAAAGTCAGCTTGGAAGCTCCTTGCTGGGCCACTCTTCCTGTGTGTGCCTGGGGTGAGCTAACTCAGCTCCTTATTCTACCTCTCTCCCTCCTCCCAATCCACGCTAGGTCATCTGCAACATTCCAGGCAGCTCTACACAAATCCCAGCCATCATCACTCCTTGCCTGGTTTGCTGGAATGGAATGACATTCCTGCCTTTCATGGTGTATTGGTCCATTTTTCATTATTATAACAAAACAGAGGGCAGCTACTTTGTATGGAAGAGGTTTATTTGGCTCACATTTGGGAAGGTCCAAGGTCAAGGGACAGCATTTGGTGATGACCTTCTTTCTGGTGAGTCCTGAGTGGTGCAGAACATCACATGGCAAGAGAGGGGCGGAAGGTGTCTCTGCGTCTCTTCTGGTCTCTGTCCCTTCCTTGTAAAGCCACCTGGATTCAATCACGGGGCTCCACCCTGTGACTATCTAACATAATCACTTGTCAGAGGCCCAACCTCCAAACACCAATGTTGGGTCACGTTTCTGCCTCACATTACCTTCCATGAGGATTGAATTTCAACATGTAAAGCCTTGTGGGACGCTCAAACCACAGTATACACTTTCCCATTTCCAGCTGTCTTGTGCCTGCTGCCGGGCAGATCTATCTCTGCCCTTCCTCATCTCTTCTTTCAAGTAAGGACCTGAAAACCTCCTTGTTCTCCCATCCAGCTCATCCTCTGATCTCTCCTTTGCCCCAGGCACAATTCCAGCAAACTTATCAAACCTCACACGCTCTTCTCCCTACAGCACCTGCCCCTGCAGGCTCTTTACATCTCCCCATTACCCAACACCTTGACGGATGTCTTTTGATGACTTTCTGGCTAGGCCTCCAGTCTAGGCATTGTGGACACGGCAGTGAATAAAGCAGATCAGTTTTCATTGCCTGGATATTCTATCTAACATATGCTCTTGGTGGCAGATACATTTTGTAGAAGACAGGCCCCCTAAGAATCTCATTCGGCAATTGTTTTTTTTTCATGGGGAACAAAAAATTAGCACTTCATGCCACAACTGTATACCAAGTTTCATCCAAATCAGTTTAACTTACCCCAAATTATCTCAGACTAAAGATCCAAATGTCTAGTGCTGAGGAGCCAGGCTGACCCAGTGCTTTTGTACGGTCAACTAGAACACTTTGAACAGGATCCTTCTTCCCTCCATGAGTCCTTGTTACAGCTAAGAGTGGAGGACATTAGACTGTCTTCTCTATATGTGTCTTCATAGCAGGATGTTGTTGAATTTCTTTCAAAGGAGGGGAGGGCTGTGAGTCTTTCTGTATTGGCAGAAGTAGAGGTAACCCAGAGATAGATGAGAGGCCTCAACACCTCTAATAGTACAACTCAGAGACCCACCAATACCACTTAGACCAGCCTCTTACACTCAGGGGACACCAGGTATGGGATGTGCTGGCTCTTCTGCTCTGTCTGCCACTAGTCAGTCATTGACTGGCAGACTGGTTCATTTGTTCCTTCATTCAATAAGAACTTAATACATAAATAGGTCTAATCTATATCTGCACTATTCCTGGGACCACTGTCTGGAGCTTGTATTTTAGAGGACTCTCTACTCTTGAGTTACGACCCAGAGAGAGAGAGAGAGAGAGAGAGAGAGAGAGAGAGAGAGAGAGAGAGGGAAAGGGTGAAAGAGAGGGAGAGAGAGAGACTGAGACTGAGACCAGAAGTGAGATGACTGCACAAGATCAGGTTTTGGTTACAGTCCATCTTTGTTCACCAACTTTTATGAGTTGAGTTCATCTCCCCACAAAATAATGTTGAAGTCCCAACCCTAGTCCCTCAGAGTTTGATTGTATTTCAGAATAAGGTCTTTATAGAAGTAATGAAGTTAAAATGAAGTTATTAGGGTGACTCCCCAACCCCCTCTCACTAGTGTCCTTATCAAAAAGGGAAATTTAGACACTGAGACAGCCATGCAGAGAGGGAAGAGGGTGTGAAGAGACAAACGTAGAAGATGGCATCCATAAGGTCTGAAGTGAATCCTTCCCTGGAGCCTCCAGAGGGAGCATAGCCCTGCTGATATCTCAGTTTTGCGCTTCTGGTATTCCAAACAGGAGACAGCAAGTTTGTCTGAAGGCACCGGTTTGTGGTACTTGGTTTTGGCAGCCCTATGACTTCCTAGGATGTTGCTCAAAACCTCCTCACAAGTCTGACTGCCCAGAGGCTGCCATACTGTGAGGAGACCCAACCTTCCTGTGTGGAGACAGGTGCCCAACCAGTCCCCACACGTTCTTAGTCCCACCTCAGCGAAGGTCTCAGGTCTCCTGGAGTGTAGATGAACCCTAACTATTGCCCTCAGAACTTCTCAGAGAATTGTAAGATACAATAACAAATTTTTGTTTGCAATGTTTAAGTTTTGGTGTAATTTTAAGCAGCAATAGGGAACCCAAGCAGAGACAGATCCAAGATACCAAGCAAGAACTGAGAAGACGCGCTGAACCTGGAGTGGAGGTTGATGAGGCCTGCAGGAGGCTAAGGAAGGGCTGAGGGCGAGTGGAGGCCACACCCATGGGGCCACCTGGCTGGCAGACAGAGGCGGAGCTGCTGGCCATGTGCTGGCTGGTCATGGCCTACACTACAATTTCCAGCCCCTTGGAAGCAAGTGTTTCCCAGATGCAGAAGCTGAAGCTCAGAGGCATTGACTATGTGCCTGAGGGCAGAACTGAGATTTAAATCCAGGATCCAAGGCTGGGCTTTTTGATGGGACCCAAAAGGGGAGTCAAAGTTGGGGTGACCTGATTTAAGAAATGGGGGAGAGGGCACAGGAGGAAGGCCCGTAAATGAAACAAGAAAGAGTCCAGTTATTCCAAGGTACTCTTCAAATTGGCTGCCCTGAGATCTGTTTGGCAAACACAGAATGTTTCAGCCACCAACCCGAGAATTCCAACAACCGAGAGTTCCAAGGAGCAGTGGCTACAGCAGCGCTCTGCACAGAAGCAGCTGCAGGACCTAGAAGTCCCCTGCTCCTGCCCCAAGCCCCACTGGCTGTGGATATGGGGGGTACTTTGTCGGGGAGCAGCTTTTCTTCTGGTTTCGTAACACTTAAAGAATCTGGTCAGTCCTATTTCTTCTCTCCCTCTTTCTTTTCCTTTCTTTTTCATGAGTTCATCTCTTTTCATTCTCTCCATAGCAACACCTAGGATACTACTCAGCTTTGCTGGAGGAATTCTGAGGGGGACTTGGGGGAGGAAGGAGAAAATGTCGTGTGTGGAGGGGAGGAGGGAGATATTTTTAAAACTTTCACACTGAAAACAAATGCAGAAGAGGCCTCAAGTCATTTAGTAGACAGGGGTGCTGGTGTCAGCCCAGGCCCCTGCTCCACCCTGCACTGAGGAGTGGCTTCTGTGTGGATGGAGAAGGTTCTAGAAGCCCCTGTGTACTTGCTCTTCACCCATCAAGCTGGCGGTTCTGTGCTTTCTAAAGCTCTCCCTTTCTTCAATTCACTTCCGACTCTTTTGATGACACGAGGAGGCAGCTTCCAGTGGATGACAGTCTATCTTCAACATTTTCCATGAATATCAACTCATTTCTCTTTCCTCTTTTGAGATTTACTGAGGTATAATTGACAAAATTATGTGTCTAAGGTATACAACTTAATGTTTTGATTTACGTACACACTGTGAAGTAATCACAGTGAAGTTAATCCATCCCCTCACACAGTGACTGTTTCCTTTTTCTGGTGTGAAAACATTAAGTTCTCGGATCAGACACCTGGGGGAAGGAGGGGGCCGTGAGATGGAAGGAGACGGGTGGTCAGCACTTTCGCTCCAGTCCTCTCCATTCGTCCTCACAATGGCCCCGTGCTGGTGGAGGGTTCTATGTCTAGGTCCTTGGTGAGATTCTGAATCTGAACCTGCGAATCCAGAAGGTGCCCTGATCAGCAAGGCTCTGCAAGCCCAAAGCTGGGGTCAAGGTCAGGTCATGCTGTTTTTGGTATTGTTCACTCTGTCCCCATGGAGCTCAGCCACATTGGCTGAAGAAAGAAAAGCCAGCGCCTCTCCAGGTGACAAGCACTGATCAGATCAATCCTGCTCCTGCCCTTTCCAATATGACTTCCCACCTCTCATTTCTATTCTCCGGGAGAGAGTGCCGTGGAGAGCTGGAGGGCATATGGTGTGCAGTGAGGTAGGCAGTCATTGAAAAATAATACTTTTGAAGAGTATGTAACAATGTGGGAGTTGGGCATGGTGGCGCATGCCTGTAATCCCAGCACTTGGGAGACTGAGGCAGGAGAATCATTGTGAGTTAGAGACCAGCCTGGGCTACAAAGTGAGCTCAAGGCCAGTCTGAACTGCACAGCGAGACCCAGTCTCAAAAAGACAAAAACAAACAAACAAACAAACAAAACAATGTGGGAACATGCTCACATAATATCAAGTAGAGACCAGAGCCGCAGACACTTAGGTGACACAGGCAGAAGGTCACATCACAGAGATAAAAACCAGTGCTTTCCCAGGGCCAAGGGTGGAGGCTGACTTCAAGGGTCACCAGGGGCCATGAGGTGGCAGGATGGTTCTGTGCCTTCATTTTGGTCATGGTTATTCAGCTACACAGCTTTAAAATTTATGAAATTATACACAAGAAAGGGCACATTATATTGTAGGCAACTTGAACTTTCAAAAAGTAATAAAATGCAGTTATGTTAATTACAATAATTCCAACATTTATAAAAGGTTACTGATATAAACATGATTAAAAATTATATGGTTCTTCCCTAATATCTGTGGGGAACTGGTTCTAGGACCCTTTATGGATACAAAAGTCTGCAGATGCTGAAGTTTCTTATATAAAACAGCATAGTATTTGCATATAACCCACACACATCCTCCTGTACACTATCAGTCATCTCTAGATTATTTATAAGACCTAATGCATTGTAAATGCTATGTGAATTCTTGTCATATTGTATTACTTGGGGAATAATGATAAGGTTAGTATGTATGCAGTTTTCTTTCTGAAGAATCTTGACTTGCAGTTCATTGACCTGGAGACATGGAGGTCTGCATGTACATAGTTAAGGTGTAGGACCTGACTTTTATCTAGTTGAAGCACAAACATTTGTAAAATCACACAGATATTAATGTTGACTATGTGTGGGTATAGAGATTACTTATGATTTTTCTTATTTTTGATATATTTCTAACAATTTCTATGATAACCTGGAATGTTCAGTTTAGAATCAGGAAAATTGTTTTACTTTGCTTTAGAAGATGAAACCTTGGGCAGGCCTCATGTCTGAGTCACTGGGAAATGGGACAACACCATCCACATCTAAGGGCTGCCACTAGCATTCAGTGAGATGATGAATGTAGAAGCACTGAGTAGACTTGAAGATGCAGCCTAACTAGTAATTCTGACTATCCGTCATCATCTTGGAGAATTTTTTCATTCCTAATCCAGTGGTTTCCAAGCATAGTTGTCTCACACAGTTGTGTTATTAACAGCTTGAAGCCAGCAGGTGATTTATTAACAGAAACGAGAAGAAACGAAAGGAGTGCCTACTATGTATTAAGCACTCAATAAATGCCTGAATGAATAACTGCTATGCCCCATATGTTGTAGCAGAGAAAACAGACTAAGAACCAATGCCTTCCTGAAATACTGCACCAAGCAAGTCCTTAAAACTGTTGATCATATTCTGTGCACTCAGGGTAAGTCTAGCATATTGCTACCATTAATAGCACACTGAGAGAATTTAAGACGTGCACCTCACACTGACCATCTAAGCAGGCACACACACGAACAGATGCAGAATGACAAGTCCAAAGACAATGAGGGGAGAGATTAGCTTGGAGGCTGGTGGTGGTGGGGAAGCGACTGAAGACAGGGCTTTCTTGCCCAGGGGGAACTACAGCTAAGCCTTGAAGGCCAGGAAGCAACAAAATAAGGCAGAAAGATATTCCAGAGGGAACAGTTGGAGCCAGGGGTTGGCAAACTGTGGCCCTCCTCCTGTCTTTGTAAATAAAGTTTCACTGAAACATGGACAGCCATGCTTATGACTATTGCATGTTCAACAGCAGAGTTGTGCCAGAGATATTCCAGCCTGGATGACTTAAAATATAGACTAACTGTCCTTTTACAGAAAAGTTTGGTTGACCCAAGTCTAGAGAAGATACAAAAGTCTAAATAAACCACGATCTCTGCCAAGAACCAGAGTGGAAGTGGTCTGGATGTAACAGAATAGTCACATGGAGGCCATAAGAGATGGGTGAGATGCTGTGGCTGTGGTGGGGGCAGAGGCCCTGTGGCCTCGCAAGCTAGGAATGATGCTCTTGTTTCCAGGGAAGCAAAACAGCACTGCTGAATTTGCAGAGGAGGCTGAGGTTCTGGGGTCTGGACCAGACCACGGTCTAGCTGAGGGGAGCTGCTGCCATGGCAGCTCTGTTGGAACGGTGAGGCTGAGGGGCTGTGAGTGCAGAGCCCTCCTGCTGGCACCTGCTCACGCTCCAGGTGGCTCCTTCAACAAACCCAGAGCTGCCGCAGAACAGCGAGAGCTGGGGAGGGAGGAGTGAGGCTGGACAAGAACAAGGAGCTGCCAGGGAGTACAAGACGTTAGTCAGACTCCAGCCTTCCGCTTTCCTCTTCCATTCACTTGAAACCCTGAATGAGCTCACTCCCTCGGTCTCCAGCTCAGTGCCCATTCTTGAACTGAGTCTTTCTCCCATCTGTCCCCGAAAATGCCCTGATAGCTGGTTATTCCCTGAACTTACATCCAGACACCAAGCCGGTCCGACTTCAGTCCTTAGGGCTCACTGCAGTGCCCGGTGCCTGTGGCGCCTGATCACAGTGTCGGCTGAATGACTGAAAGGACAACGGTGGGCAGGACCGGGTCTCTGACTCGGCAATTGTGTAACTCCCATGCCTCAGTTTCCACATCTGTCAAATAGGAATGTGACGATACTTACTTCATATGACTGTGAGGATTGAATGAGTTTAATAAGATGTGCCAAGAAGAGTTCCTGGCTCAGGCAAGGACAGAGCTCGTACTTTAGTTAGCCATTAGCTTTGTTATTACAGTCAGAATGAGGCCAGAGAGCAGCTGAGTCTTGAGGGCTGTGAGAGTTATGAGGAAGGTGTGGTCATTTCTTTTTTTTTTTTTTTTTTTTTCTCCGGTACCGGGAACCGAACTCGTGACCTTGCGCTTGCCAGGAAGGTGCTTTTGCCGCTGAGCTAAATCCCCAGCCCCTGGTCATTTCTAATGAGGGGAATCCAGGAAGAACTGCAGAGTGGAGGTGAGATCTGCTGATGGGCAGCAGAATCCTAAGGCTTTGCTGGGTAGAATCTATCTGTGGTTGATTATCAATGTCTGCTCTGGGTAAGGAAGACACCATGGTAGCCTGTGTGCCTCCTGGATCTAGGTTATATTTGTTTTAGGATTCAGACATATCAGAGCACATTCGGAATTCTGGCAAGACAGGCTAATTGTAAATTTTGTCTTCCATGGCTGAAGGTGTTGCTTGGGAACTAATACATCCTCAGAGAAGGCACAAACTCTGACTTGAGAACATTGCATTAGTCACCAAGTGGAAACGCAGCTCTAACTTTGGCTGGGTGCTTGAACTTCATCAGATCCCAAGGATCCACATCTGACGCTAAGAGAAGGGGGAGAACTGAGAGCTGTCTTAACAAATCTGTGTATGAGGCAGCCTTCAGGGTGGAGGGCTCGGAGTGGAATAGTGCATGGGACAGAAAGTGTCCTCACCATGGTCTCCTCACCTGAGCGAGGGCCTGGGGGTCTGGGGTGCTGTGGTAGAGCACAGTGTAGATGCTGTGGTCATATAGGCAGGGACAAGACCCCAGAAGCCTCCTTCTGGCAGGGCTGCAAGGTGCCCATCTGGTGGTTCCTTAAAGGAGAAAAGAACCTGCAGGGTCCTATGTGGACCTCCAGAATGAGGGGCTGGAGGTGACTGGGGGCCCCAGTTTGAGCCCACATGGGATCCCCATTCCCAGCACAGACAGAAATGGCTACAGGACAGAAGAGGTAGGGGAAGGAAGGTCTCCAGATGGAGGAGAGGGTAGAAACTGCCTCTTTTTTCACTGAGAGCAACGTGGGAAGGAAACTCTGCCTGTGCTGCTGGAGGCAGAAGGAATTGGGAAAATGGGACTATGAACAAAGCAGCGGGGCTGAAGGTGCACGAGTGCGCTCGCGCACACACACATGCACACACACACAGCAAACACGAGTGCAAGAGACACACTACGTTCTCAGCCTCGTGCCTCAAAAGTGTACCACTAGATTAAAAAAAGAAAAAGAGAAGGCGAGGCCCCAAAGCCCCTCCACTGCATTGACGAGCCAGGCACAAAGAAAGCACGATCAGAGCGTTCCCAGGATGCAGTACAACTTCCTGCAACCGCTCTTGACCCAGCCCTCCACACCCCTTCCCGGCCGCAGCAACTCCAAAGGACATGGCTCGAGGAAGTGCAGGCCAGGCCGCCCTGCCCAGCGGGGGTACAGGTATGAATGCGCCTCCTCTCCTTGTTCTTGCCTCACGCCTGTCTTTGGAGTCTTGCTGGGAAGGAGGGAAACCAGGCCAAAGCGGAGATGAAAGCACTTGTAATCTCATAGCAGAGCCAGGCGATGCTCTGAAAGGCTGGAGGAGCCAGCACCTGCCATTTGCACTGCAAGGCAGGCAGTGTGAAACTCACCCAGCAAGAGGCCTGTCTGCCCTTCCCCAGGTGCCTGGATGTGGGTGAGCCATGGCCTGGGGACCAGCGTGCGTTGGTTGCATGGCCCACGGGCTACAGGAGGACAGGAGGAGAGGAAGACCACCCAGCTGGGACCTGGGACCTGGACCTGGGACCTGGACCTGGCCTTGGATGCATGGGGGACTCGGCCTGCATCTCCCCTTCCTACTCTTCCTCACTTTTCTAGAGAGCGCTGCACGGTGGGAAGAAGAGCCTGGTACCACAACAAGCCTTCCTCAGGGCCGCGGATATAGCTCAGTGGAGCAAGCACCTGCCTGGCAAGCGCGAGGTTCTGAGTTCAATTCCTGGTACCAAAAAAAAAGAAAAAACACAAGCCTTCCTCATTGCTGTCACAGAGTCGGACTCCACAGGAACTGAGAGAAGCATGAGCTGCGTCAGTAGACACAATGGAGCCAGCTCTGCTTTTCCTGCCCTCTTGAGACATTGTGCAACACTGGGAGAACCCAGAGCTGGATGTGTCCTCTTCACCACTCAGAACGGGGAGATGAGGGGAGCAATGTCGTCCTATAGCACGAAGCCCAGAGATCAACAGCAGCCAGAGGCGATTTTCCAGATGAAGCCTCAAATGATCAGGGCAGGACCTCTAACAGACTTCTTACAGTGGAGTTGCTGTTTGGCCCTAAGTGTCTAGGAGGACTCAGGGAAATCTCCAAGTTGGAAGAGAACACACTGTCCCTTTGGATTGTGAAGCACCAGGACGATGGGAGAGTGTGCAGGAGCCTGGGCCAGCAGGCCACAGCTGCAGGATTAGTTGAGGGGACTCACCTTCCTAGCACAAGCTTGCCCTGTGTGCAGCACGGCGGGCTCTGGACTTTCTGACCTAGCCCAGGAAAGACATCCCTGGGGAAAAAGCCTCTGAAGGAAAGTCTGGAGGGCCTGGCTCCATCACAGTGTGGCAGTGAGAGAACAGGGACGGCTTTGCTCAGTAACAACTCACGCTTAGGAGTGCTGGGCCGCTCTGGAGGCTGGCATTCATGTTATGTGTCATGCCTGTCCTTTTAAAGCTTCCACAGTCTACAGCACCACAGGGGACTGAGCACGTGGCCTTTAGGGCCACAATCATACCATAGCAAATGAGAGGGCCCACAGGTTGGTCAGTGCCTGCCCTGCAGGATTCTGAGCTGGAATGGCTGCTTGGAGACAGATGAGGGTAGCCATTGCTATTGAGAGTGGGCACTAAGGGAAGAGGGGCCAAGGGTGCCTGACACGGCTGCAGGGAGCCAGACCCGGCAGGCTGGCCTAGGCATAGGTTTGGGGAGGCAAAGGAGAAGTGTGGGTGTTCCCCTCTGGGAACAGCATAAAATCCTTAATGCAGCAAGAAGATCCCAAAGTGGGGCTTGCCAGCCCAGGGCAGCTTCTCCGGGAATGACTAAGTTACAGACCTGGGCTCTGAACCTCAGAAAACACAATGATGGGATGGGAAAGCTGAGATAACAAAGCAGTAGAGAGAAAGCCCGTCCCTGGGAGCTTTTGGAGGTTTCTGAATTAACCACAAGATTCATTAGTGAGCAGAAGTCCACTGTTTTAGGGAAGGAAACCTGTCGTGAGTTTTAATTGGGATTCTGATCAGTTATGAGTCTTGGGCGTGGAACAATGCCAAGCGAGGGCTGGAAGCGCAGAGCTTGGACTGGGGTGGGCAAGTGTTCTGTGCCAACCAGCGTGGCCTGAGCTTGAAACTAGGCCAGAGCTGAGCAGGGCCTGTGGGGCAGCTGGGAAGGAACAGCCGGGCCCTGGTGCTGCCGGCTGCAGGCGAATGTTATCACCTCCAGCTGCTGCCACACGGCTGCGTCCATCCTACTTCCCCATTTGTGCGACGGTGACCTCACGTGTGAGACTTGAGTGCCTTTAGAGCTTTGCTGTCTCCTCTGGCTTGGTACGAGCTGCCATCTCTGCCCTGCCAAGCTGGCAGGGAAGGCTGCCAGGAGCAGGCAGCACGATGTGAGCAGCAGCTCCCTGGTGCTGCTTGCTGGCTCCTTCTGCAGCTCTCTGAGCCCTCCACGGTGCCAAGGACTGTGCTAGGGACCTGGGATGCAATGAAGGACAGCTGTGCCCTGAGCTCCAAGGGGAGGCTACAGGCGAGAGGAGCCATGTTTTGAATTCCATGGTAAAGGAGCAAGAAGCACTACAGACGACCAGAGGATAGTGTCTGTGTCCGTGTGGTGGCGCTCAGGAAAGGCCTGCCCCAGGAACCACCTGATTGCTACATCCCTGGCTACAGGATGGGAGCTTGCTGGGCTCTGTGCATACTTCCTTCTCTCCAGCAGTGTTTGACGGTGTCACAAGCCTTCCTTTGTCCTGAAAGCAACCCCAGGAAGGAGGTGATAGGGTCAGGAAAGACCCAAGAGTCACTTGAGGACATACCCTGTCTGAGCCAGAAGGTGGCACATTCAAACTCTATGGCTGCTGCTCCTGACTTTCCAAATTTGCTGAACCTGTGGTGTAGCTCGGCACAGAGGCCTTTGCTCTCTGCCTGTGGGCTGTGTGAGGACTGGCACAGGCACAGGGAACCTCCCTCAGCTGCGCTGTGCCCAGACCTCAGGGACATCCTCCCTGCCAGTCACTTCCACTTGCTGCCCACTTTCTAACTCTCACTCAAATCACACACAGGTGGGCCTGAGGGCTCCCAGAGGACTGTCTTGTGGATGCAGGAGCTGCTAAGGAGGCAATGGTGCACGCTCTGGGAAAGGGTGGAGCTGGATTCAAATCTGAGCCCCTGCCATGCAAAGCCCTGCACCTGCGTGTTCTAGCAGCACTCTGTAACCATCAGAAAGTTAAATGTCCACTGATGGTGCCTGGATAAACCAAGTGTGTTCTAAAGATAGGATGAAATCTTTTGGCCAAAACAGGAACAAAGCAGAGCTCCATGCTATGGTGTGTACAAAAGTCAGAAACAGCTCAGTGGAGTCAGCCAGTCCTCAAAGACAGCATGTTCTGTGATTCCACCTTTGTGAGCTATCTGCAGAGAAGCCTGCAGGACAGAAAGTGATTAGTGGCTGCCTCCAACTGGCTGGAGATGGAGGTGCCAGAGGGAAGTGGGTAGTGACTGCCACTGGGTCTGAAGCTATTTGGGGGGTGATGAAAATGCTTAAAACTCGGGCAATGATTGCACAACTCCATGAAGGTATTTAAAATCACTGGATGGTGCCCCTTCCACAAGTGAATTATATAGTAGGTGCATTAGAGCTCAACAGAGCAGCTCTGTTGGGAATCTGCGTCTCTACCACTTCTTGGTCCCCACTAGACCCTAAACTCCTCAAGGTCTGGGCACTGGCTTTGCCCTCCATGGTATTTGGAGGACCTGATATGTCATAGGTGGCTGTGTATTGGTAACCAGTGAAAATGTGGCCGTGGCAAAGCACGTAGCTCTCTGAGCCTCAGTTTCTGCACTGTAAACAAACTGCGACAGTGTCTTATGCTGAAGGCCACTGATTAGTGGACAGGGCACTGAGGAACCTGGCAGAGTCTTGGGCACAACAGGGGCAAGAGGTGGTTCCTTGGATGTGTGGCTTAGTGCCATCTCTAGGCTCTAATAGTGACCTGTGCTTTTGGGAATTCTGTTTCTTAGTCACCTCTTCACCTCCTTCACATGTCCGTCTTCAAGCAAGGGCACAGCTGTCACCCAGAGGCCCACGTGATGCCCCTGCTCAGGCTTCTGGAGGCTGGTCTGAAGGGCCACGCCCACGTGCTGAACAGGGCCAGAGCCCAGCCTGGCAGGGGCTGGTGGACAAATGAACTGCATTTCCTGTTCCTGTCTGGAGACACATCTAACGGCCCCTCTGAGCACGCCTGTCTCTGCTGGTCAGGGCTGGCTCCGGCGCTGAGCTCCCCTGGGTGTTAGCAATACACACAAAGAGCACAGAGAACGGTTCCAAGACACCCAGCTGTGTGAGGGCCAAGGTCAGGCTCTGGCAGCTCAGCCCTACCCTTAGGAACCTATTTGCAAAACTGCGGGAAGAGCTTTCAGGCAGACCTGGGAAGCCCTTCTCCTGTTCTTGTCTGGCCCCAGAACCTCGGCAGGGTTCCCAGCAGGCAGCTCTGCGAGGCTATCTGTCCTTCCTGGTGCCTTCCAGGAGTGGCTCTCCACCCCCAGCCGAAGCCTACCCAAACCTTACCTCTAACTCCTCCCACCTTTCCAGATCAGCTGTCGGGACACGGCTGTTCAAGATGAGGTTATGGTTCTGCCGTCTGGGCTCCAGCTATGCTCACCCTCAGTGTGCATGGCATAACTTACGACTGCTTGGCTAGCACGGTCCCTCCACTGTCTCTTGGCCCAGAACTGGGGCCCTCCACGATTACAGCTGTCCCCAGGCTTAGAGAAAGCAGCCTGGCACGTGGGAGACCCTCATTGAATCTTCATGCAGTGGAACAGCCCTGCTTGTACTGCTCTGCCCCCCTTTTCCACTGTTTCCTTCTCTGATGGGGTGGTGGCTGCTCCTTGTCCCCCAGGAAGCCAGAGCAGTTAGAGGAGTGGGCTCTCCTCCTGGAGCAGCCCCACGCAGGGCACCCTCATGTGGGAAGTAGAGGGGGAGGAACGCCTATGTGTGCAAGGGGTATGTGTGTGCAAGGGGTGTGTGTGTACAGGGTGCATAAGGTACATGCAAATGTATAAGGGGTGTGTGCAAGGTGTGTGCAAGGTGTGCAAGGGTGTAAGGGGCACATGTAAGGGGTGAGTTGTAACGGGTGTGTGAGAGGTGTGTGTGTAAGGTGTATGTGCTACAGTGTGCAAGGGGTACGTGTGCAAAGGTCTGTGTGTGTAAGGGGTGTGCGTATGTATACCCATGTGTAGGATGGTGGGACAGGGAGGAACTGAGAGGTGGCATGGCTGCCCGCACCCACCCCCTGCACCCTCACCTCTTTCTGTGTCCTAGGTTCTGGGCTGCCCATCCCCACTTCCTGCCAGGGACCCGGCTCTCTCCACCCAGCAGAGGCCTGGAACTGGCCCAGGTGGGTGCCTGGGTGCCATGCAAGTAAAGTGTGACATGCAAGTAAAACACACTAGGACAGGTGGAGGCGGCAGAATAAAGAACAGTATTTCTCTGCCTTCCAGCTGAGGCCCTGCCTTTTCATTTTGCACTGGGCCCACGAACCACGGGGTCCGCCTTGCCTACCCACTTTCACAGTGCACTGAGGAGCTGTGAAGAGCTGCTGAACATGTGACCCCCACCAGACAGACTGAATCTCCACAAGGCCGGCCAGCTCCCTTACCCTTCAACTTCTGCACCCTCTTCCAGGACAGCCAGGTAAGGCAGGCCCTTACGTTCTCGGGAGGGTGCTGATCCGAAGAGAATCTGCATGACCACTGCTGGCCCCCTGCGGTCTTTTGCCTGGTTCTGATGTGCCCCCCTTGGATGTGTTTCCCCAAGCAGGGGATTCGTGAGGGGCTCTGAGGGGCAGGTAGAGGTTGACTGAGGACCAGAAGGGAAGGGGGATATCTGGGTAGACAACCAACAGCAGAGGCTGGGGCGCTGCTGTGCTTAGGGGAATGATGGTGAACAAGTTGGGATGCACCCTTGGGGAGAGGGCTGGACCTTGGGATGAGGTGGGGCAACCTAGGCTCCCAGGGCAATGTGCGAAGGCAGGGAAGGTCCAGGCAAGAAGAGGCTGGGCTCGTGAGGTCACCCTGGTCCAAGGATGGAGGGAAGCAGGAAGTAGCACTGCTGGATAAGGGCCAGGGGTGGAGGGTGAGGCCCCAGGCGAGGCAGTGACACTCAGGGCTGGAAGGAGCCGGCTACATCTCTGGGAGCTGCTGGGAATGCAGGAGTGGAGTGGGTGTCATACAGTGCTCCTCCCACGCCTCTGCCTTGAGTTAATGGAAACCAAGAGGAAGAGCAGGCTGGGGAGAGGTGAGGAGGAGGAGGTTACCCTCCTCATGGTGTGAATGAACAGGGGCTTGCTTCCAGGTAGACAAAAATCTACAAATTTACTACCCTGAGTATTCCTAAAATTGTCCATTACAACAAACCTAACTCCTCTTGGTTACTGAGCCCAAATCAGATAAATTTTATTTAAGCCACCAGGTGAGCCCTAACGGCCATTGGCTCAGAGCCACAGATTTGTGGAATCCAGAGGACAGTTTTAAATTAAAGAACAAGTTAGAATGAAGAGGTGCTATGGAAGAGAGGAAATCACAAAGTCAACTTGGAAAGAGGATGAACCCTCTGGCTCTCAGACGCAGGCAGGTTCTTAGTGGCCCACTGAGGCAGGGAGGCCTGGCTTGGAGTGCAGACAGACACACACTTCTGAAAACGACACACGAGCCCCCGCACTTTTGGAAGGTTCGAGGATGGCTTCCCTGGCCTGCAGTTGCTGGTGCTCTGAAAATTGATTTCAGACCCAAGGCCCAGGATGCAGGGATGCTGGTGGGGTGGGGAATGTACGCCTTCTCTGAGGGCTCAAACTAAAAGGAAGACAGTGATAACTGGGTTTCCCTGAGGGTGGCACCATCTAGTTGACAGTGCTCCCTCGCTCCTGGTCACGGGTCCACAGCAGCCTGTGGAATGCACAGGACACTGTCATCCAGTGTCACCTACGCAGCGCCTGCGGCCCTCTGGGAGCCAAATGCAGAGCAGGGCCGGGATGGAAGCAGCTCTTCTGTGTCTTGCCACCTGTCCTACTGCGGTATCCAAGGTGAACCCTTAGCCTGTCTGGAGTTTACACATTTGGGAAACAGCAAAAGACATTAGAACCAATTTGGTTCTTATTTTTAAAAGAACGAAAACAAAACAAAACAGACCAACACACTTCAACACTCGTTGTGGCCTGGTGCTGGACTCTGTACCGCTGCTGCCGCAGTACCGGGACAGTCCTCTGTGGCTTCTCTCAAGCTGGCTAAGCATTCAAGAACCTGGGGATCAGGGACGTCAAGCTGGCCAGAGGCCAGGCAGTGAGGATGTCAAGCAGCTAGGGCACCTTCCTGTAGCTGTCTAATGTTTCCATCCCGGGAGCACTCACAGGGATTTCCGCAAGTCAAGAACCAGCCACTAGGATGCGACAGACCTTTGAGCTTTTTGTCCCCCTTGAATAGAAATCATTTAAAATTTTTAATTAGGGCTGGGGATATAGCTCAGTGGCATAAACGCCTGCCTGGCAAGCACAAGGTTGTGAGTTTGATCCCTAGTTCCGCAAAAAAAAAAAAAAAAAAAAATTTAATTACATAGGCAGCATGTGATTTTTATGAAATTTGAATGATAGAAACATTTAAAGTAAAGGTATTGCCCTGTCTCTGCTTCTCTGCTCCCCTCCTCAGATGGACGCTTCTAGTGCTGCTCTGCCTGAACTGCGCATGCACACAACTCCCTGCACTCGAAGCGTGCTCTCCACCAAAGCCAGGCACTGGATGCACCCCAGGGCTATGCTCCATTCACCCAGCCATGCGTCACAGCTGGGCTCTCGACTAACACACAGACCTCCTCATGGGAAGGGGCCGATCCTCCTTTGGAACAGCTTTCACCGTCTTAATGAACTCTGCTGGTGCACTCTTGGGTTGTCTTCAACTTTTCATCGATTCTGTGTCATACTTTACTGTAAATGACACAGACCTTTGGGCTGTAAACTCCTTCAGCTGTTTTTCTCAGCCTTTTTATGCAGCTTTGTTTAACCAGTAATCTCAATACAATTCCTATAGCAAGTTTTCATTTCAAAAAATAATTTTTGGGCTGGGACTGTAACTCAATAGTAGAGCACTTGCCTATATGAATTTCATTCCTATCGCTCCAGAAACAACAAAAACTTGCTGGAGTTAACTCTGTTTCAGCCTTTTGACCATTGTGAAAACTGGCTTTAGACAGCTACATTTTGAGCCAGCCTTACTTTTCCAAACTTTCCCACTCATTCTGTAACCAAAGCTCAGTTCTTGCAGGAAATGCATGGTATAAATAAGGTAATTAAAACTGTGTTTTAAGTCTGTAAGACAAGCTGCAGAATTCCAGGCTAACATAAAGAAGGAAGGAAGCTCCCTGGCCTTACATTTCTATTCCAGCTCCAATGACTTCATTCTTTGAACTCAAATGACAAGGCGCTGAGTCTATCAACCGCAGACTGAGTCATCGCATCAGTTTCCCAGGCCATTTATCCATCCTGGGCAGAAACTAAGTCATCCCCCTTCTTTCTTCTCATAATCTTGGTGAGAGTCAGACAATTTGCCTTTTTTGAAATTCTCATCCTCTGCTTCATTTTCTGTTCTTTTCCTTCAAAATGGGCAGCAAAGTAGCAAACAGTTTTGTGCCGTTTCTGACGTTCCAAAATTCCTTCTTTTATCATTTTGTTTCAAGAGCTCCCTTTAGCCATTATTTTAGGGTACATCTACTAGCCCAAACATCCCTGAACTTTTTTTCACCTGTGACTACCTTGATTTTCCTTTCCTCTTGCATAGTACATATTTTTGATGGATATAGGGCCCTGGTGACAGGCCTTCTAAAAGTGCTGTGCCGTTTCCTTCCGATCTTCATGGCTTCTGGTGAGAATCTGCTGCATACGTTCTGTTTCTCCTGTGAGGCAGGTGTTGTTTCTCTGAGTAAGGGCAGGAGTTTCCCCTTATTTCTGTGAGTAAATGTCAGGAGTTTCAGACATTTGAATACAATATGCCTTTTTACGGGTTTCTCTATATTCATTCTGTTTGGGGGCTCATCCAGTTTCTTGAATCTGTAGATTTATGTCAAATGTGCGAATTTTTAAGCCACTATGGTAGATTGCCTTTGTTTTACATGTTTTAGTTATCCATGGTCAACTATGATTTAAAAATATTAAATGAAAGATTCTAGAAGTAATTAATAAATTTTCAATTATATGTTGTTCTGAATAGTGTGATAAAATTTTGTACCATTCTGTTCTACTCTGCCTAGGTCATGAACTCTCCCTTTGACTAGCATATCCACACTGTATATGCTACCCTTCTGTTAGTCATTTAGTGGTTGTCATGGTTACCAGATTGCCCATCATGATGTTGTAACGCATGCAGACAGGGTTCAGAATTATCCATGGATTCAGGCATTCAACAGAGGTCTTGGAACATAGCTTCCGCAGAAGAAAGTACTCCTGTATTTCTTTGGGTAGTTTTTAAATTCTGTTGTCTTTCTCTTTGCTGTCTAGACTTTTGATGATATGACTGTAACATCTTTTGTTACAGTCCTACAGTTTCCTGAGGTTCTGTTCATTTTATTTCTCCTGCTGTATTTCTATTTTCTTTCTGTTTTTCAGATTGTATTTTTGATTGTTCTTTTTTTTTTAACTACATAGGGTCACACTACATAGTTCAGCATGGCCTTGGCCTTGGAGTCACTGGGGCCCAGGCTGGCCTCGAACTCTCAGTGATTCTCCTGCCTCAGTCTCCCAAGTGCTGGGATTATAGGTGTGTGCCACCATGCCTGACTGTGTTCTTATTTTCAAATTCACTGATTCTTTTCTCTTTCCCATGTATTCTGCTATTCAGCTCATCCTGTGAGTTTTTAATTTCAGTTATTTTTCAGTTCTAAAATTTCCATGTGGTTCTTTATTTCTCCTATATCTTTGCTGAGACTATGTTTCATTTGTTTGAATTCTATCCGCAGGTGCTCCCTGAAGTGTTTTTCAGATGGTTCCTTCATAACATTTACCAGACAATTGTAACTTCCCCATCATTTTAGTGTTACCCTTTTTACATGTCCTTTTTATATCTTTTATTTCATCATATTATTTTTAGGTGCATTTTCTTTTTCAGATATTTTATTTTAAAGAGAATAAAAAATAAAAACAATACATAATTTTAAAATAAGATGATAGGAAATTAACAAGGGTTATTATATTGCATATTGTTATCTTCAAAGTATTTGCTCAGATTACCAGATATTGACATGAGTGATCTTTAAAATCGAAACCTGGTTTTGAGACTTGGGTCTCAGTAAAACCATCTGTCCCGGCCTCTCTGGCCCTGCTCTGACACGGGAGGGAGTGTGCCTCCCACCCCCGCCCCAAGCGGCCCTCTTTGGCTCCCACTGACACTCAGGGAGCAGCCCGGCTCTGCTGTGTACAGGGCGCCCATCATAGCTCCCGGCTGGGTGAGTGAGGGGCCTGGCCCTGCTCCCGCAGACTCCAGGGAGGTGGCTATGGCCAGGTCACCACTGGTGTTGTGGCAGAAGTCTCCTCTCTCTCCCTACCTGGACTTCTTGCCCCACCCTGGCAGAGGGAAGGCAGGTGGATGGGAGCTTGCTGCACCCCAGTGAGGGTGGAGGGAGACTCCCACCTGGCCTTCGCTGATAGGAGCAGGGGCTGGGACATATTTTTTTCTGTGGGCTTTGGAGCAGGTGGTTACTGTTGACAAATTTTCTGTCTTGTATAAAACTTTCTCCTTCTAGGGACAGAGAACACTTTTTTGGGGGGGCTTTTTTGGTCTGTGCCCACTGGCCTTTTGGTGGATGGCTTCTTCAACACCTAGTCTGAGCTGCATGAGACAAAACAAGACAAAGCACAAAAATCCCCCCAAACCCCTTAAACTTACTACCATATCATTCCTTGGGCTGTGAGGCCCCTAGTCAGTCTGCCTTTACCTCTCCACCTTGAAGAGTTTTACATTTGTGTGTAATGTTCAAGGTTTTTAGGTGTCTTAGTGGGAAGAATAGAGAGAAGTGCGTACTCCATTTCCCCTAAGGGCTGCCCACCAGTGTTACCCAGTTCCTTCCCTCCCTCTTCCCAGGGTAGTAAAGCACCAGCCCCTCCCGTTCCCATTTGCTGTCTTCCCTTGTACTTCCATCCTTCCGATATCCAGCACTGGCCTCACCTTCATGAGGGTGATAAAGAGGAGCAGGAATAGGAGGAGGAGGAGGAGGAGGAGGAGGAAAGCCACATCGGGAAACAACAGGACAGCCCGCCGCCCCCTTTCCAAAGCCTGCTGTGGACCTCTACAGACTGAAGGCCAGACTCAGCAGGCTGGCTGTGGGCGCTGCACACTCCTGGCCTCCGTCTCCTTCATCTGGCGGCTGGAGCTTCTCTTTTCCTGGCACACTGCCCTTCTCCCTCCATCCCAGTGCAAAGGGCCTGTTTTCTCCCCAGTGCCTTCCAGCTAAGATGGAAGCCCAGTCTAGGATGTGGCACCTATATTAGACATGCACAATCACAGAAAGTCAGTTAGATTTTAAATTCATTAAAGGTCCAGGTTAGGCTCGACATTTCTTTATCTAGTGGCACACAAAGAACAGCTGATAAAAGCTTAATTTTTAGGACAGAATGACTAAAGGCCCTTGCCTGAGAGTGGAGCTCTGTGAGAGGAACCCTGAGAATCAAGGCCAGGGGACTTTGTGAGGAGATGTTCACGTAGCACACAGCTCTGGCAGTGCTCGGCCCTGCGCCACATTCTCCGGGCTCTGGTGAGGCCCACTATGGTGGGCAGCCTCACGGGGTGCAGTGAGTGTGAGAGGGAGAGATCACAGGTGGGACAGGAAGCCGGGGCAGGGGAGGAGCACCCGCCCTGCAGGGCCCAGGTCGCAGAAGTCCTCTCGGGCCCCTGAGGACAGAGTAGCACTGTGGGAGCTTTGGGGAACACGCCCTGCAGAAGCCACAGCAGCATCCGATGATTATGCGGGCCAGGAGAAGCAGTCACCCAGCCTGCAAGTGTCCTGGCCTCAGGAGTGGACCCTGGCTGGAGGTGGGGACAGATGCCCCATGTGAGGCGTCCTCCTGGAGTAGACTCTGTGGCCCTGTAGGCGGCCTTGGAAATCCAGCTTCCCATTTCTGTATCTGTGTAGCGAGGGGCCTGACCTGAAGATACAGCTATATGGGCCCATCATTTTCTCCTTTTTTACTTGAAAGAAAAGGACTGCTGGTCTCTCAGGGCTTGATTGGTATAAATCCACTTAAAACTGCAATAATCATAACTTACAGTGACTCAGTACTTGTTACTGTCAGCTGCACCAGACATGTCCAGGCTCACCTCACTCTATACTCACCATCAGGGGTGGAGTGAGTACTGGGACCATCCTGCTTTGTGGATGAAGGGCTTCAGGCTCACAGAGACTACACTGAGTGACCAAGCCAGAAGAGTCAGAGGTGGGATTTGAACCCACGGGTCATGACTCTAAAGCCTGCTCTTCATCTCTGGCTTCCTAACACACCTCTTCTAAGAGCCAGCCACTGCTCCGAGCCCCATGTCACGTGTGTCCTAAGTTGCACAGCTGCTCTGATGGGAACAGGGTTTGCACTGAGACAGTGTAGCAAGCCATGCCTGGGTGCTTCTTTCGGGGTGCTTGTCTGCTCCTCCAGTAGCTCCAAGCCCCTCGAGGGAAAGGACTCACTGTCATTCATTTCTGTCTTCACAGGTCCTGCAGCACCCAGCGCAGACTGAGCCCACCATACGTCTTTGCTCAGCTGAATCCTTCTAGAAGGGGACTCCCAGCCCCCCACCTGTCCCGGCCACGTGGGAGTCCATGGAGACCTTGGGTTTGCAGCTTAGCCACAGGGGGTCTGTGCCAGGCTGCAGGCTGTGCATTCTGCTCTGCTTTCTCATAAAACGTTTTCTTCACATAGTGTGGGCCCGGGGCTCCTAGACAGGCAGAACACAAACCCAAGGGCCATGGAGCTATGCATTATTTCTGCTGGGGCGCATTTTTGCATTTAGGAATCTGAGTTTTTGGTAACTTAATGCCAGGAGTGGAAGGTAAACAGATTCTTCTTATTGCAACCCTCTGTGTCCAGCTGTTCTGGGAAGGTTTTTCAAAAGGGAAGAAAGTGACTAACTTAGCCTGGCAGCTCTCAATGCTGGTGCCTTTGTCCTTCAGGGGTCATGTGGCACTATCAGGAGACACCTGTGGTTATCACAAGGGGGCTGTATGGGTCTACCGGTGTTCAGTGGGCAGATGCCAGGACCCTGCTCTACGTCCCACAACACAAGGAGAACCCAGCAGCAAGCAGCCAGCCCGCCCGCACCCAACAGTACTGAAGCTGAGAAATCCGCGCACGAAGCAGCCCTGCATCTGCATGCACAGGGTGTTTGTGGAGGAAGCATCGCTCAACAATTAAATTACTTTTTATGAGATTTTACTCCCTGAGAGCAGCATAGATCACTGGGGAGAAATGAAAGAGAACATTTTGTGCCGCAGCAAGACCATTTTAGTTCAGAAGCACATTCAGAAACAAGGCTTTGAGGTAAAGGTCTAGGGCTTTTCCCCACAAACCCAGTGGGGAAACTTATTAAAGTACAGATTCCTAGGCCTCTCTTCACACCCACTGAGCAGACGCTCTTGGGGAGAGTGGTGGGGTCTGCATTTTTAGGACACCCCCCAAGTGATCTGGACATACACTGACATTTTCTTCCACTTCCCAAAAGTAGGGTGGGGCAGATGGGCCATATGCAGAGTGGTTTTTAAGAAGTTGCACATTCTAGCACGGCTCTCCAACTTGATCATCGGCACTGCCGCATCATGAGCTGCCCTAGACAGGGACCCTGGCTGCTCTGCTTAGGAGTTCACGAAGCCACCCAGTGAGCTGCAGCGTCTCTCTAAAAAACAGCAATACCCACGAAGACCTAGGTTTGACAGCCAGTTACATTTTCTTCTCACTCCTCAGAACACAAAGTATGAAAGTAAACAACACCGCCTGTGTCACCCAAGACGACAAAGAGCGCATGTGGGAAGCTGCATGGCAGCGGAGCAGCCGCAGCCCATTCGGGGAACTTCTCAGCCAGCAACTGCACTCTCTACCATGCAGACGCCTGGGCTCTGCAGGTGGAGTCTGAACCTTCCTTGCAAGCGCAGGCTTGCCTGCCAATCGCTTTGTGGAGGAGCGAGAGTAGTCAGCAAGTACCACACACCGTTAGCTATAAATCCAAGTCTCCATGGAATCACATGTAGCTGGGACAGGCCAGGTGGCTGTTGGGTCCCCGTCCAGGGGAATGGGACTGAACCAGCATGTGCAGTGGGCTAACTGTGCTGGGCCCTGCAGACGTGGTGAAGGCACAGAAACGAGTCAGACGGGTGCCCCCAAAGAGGCAGAATGACATAATTAGCCCCGGGCCCACACTGACAGCCACCAGCTCCAACTGATGAGCTTTTGTAAAGAACCATCTTAAATCAGGCACAGTGGTGCACAACTGTCAGTGTGGTGCACACCTGTCGTCCCAGCTCCTTGGGAGGCGAAGGCAGGAGGATGGAAAGGTCAAGCCCCGCCTGAACAACTTTGCAAGGCACTGTCTTAAAAAAAATGAACAGGGCCAGCCATGTAGATCAGAGCAAAAGCTCTGGGTTCAATCCTCAGTTCTGCAAAAACCAAAAAGCCAGAACCATCTTAAATCCCACACTAGGACAAAACAAAGGACCAGCACATTTTGCATGGCACTGGCACTCAGAAGTTGGAACGGGTGTGAGAAGTACAAGTCTATGAAGAAATTGGCTTCCATCCTCCTCCTCCCTCTCCTGCAACTCTTTCAGGTGGTGCTGCTGGCTGTGTCACAAAGGGACAAGCATGACACACCAAAGGCTACAGAAACTCACAATCTCTGCTAAGAGTCAGAATAAGCGTGTGCAGTTTGTTTTTCCGTTCACATTTTCCCAAAAGGCCAACCTTGACCTCACGTTGGTTTCCACTGGGCTCTGCACACAGCCTACCTTGCCACACACCTGGCCCATGCAGCTGCCACCCGGCCCGATGGGTGCGCGTGCATTCACTAACACCGCTTTATTTTTGTCTTTTCTCTCTGATCCACATTCAGCTGCCTGCATAATTCCCACCTCAGGTGCAACCTCTCAGAGTTACTTGTCTCCTACTTGAGATACATTGCTGTTCCGCACACATCAGAAGATTGGCCAGGGGGTGGGAGGTATGAGTGTGGAACTGGGCCAGGAGGAGCTAGGACACTGCCCTCAGACCCAGGTACTACACACACAACAGAACACCATGACAGTGTCTCTCTGTGGTAAAGACCTTGAGGGGGTGTTTCTGAGCAAGGCTATAAACAGATACACCTTTCCCTCCAGTCTCAAAGGGCTTGTGATTTAGAAAGTGTCTCTCTGTGCAGCTGCCAGCCATCCCTGTTTGGCTTGAGGTGGAAAGACAAGATGGTGTATAGACATGTTTTGAGCACCTACTCAGGGCTCAATAGGCTCTGGGTGTCGGCGGCGAAACCCTCGCTCTCCCTGAACAGGAGCACGGAGGAAAGGTGAGGGTGTGCTCCCGCAGGCAGAGAGAAGGATGAGGAAGGGGGCGAGCACGGCTGGGTCAGAGGCTGCTGACTGCACCCCGACCCTGGACACCGGATCTGTAGCATCATGAGAGCATCCAGCGGGGAGTACTGGATGAGTCGGTGAAGACGGCACTGCAACTGCACAGGCAAGGCCAGGGGCCGGTTCTGGTGACCTGGGACAGGCAGGGGCCCAAGGCCCAGCAAGGAGAGTGGACTCGGGGGCTGCCTGCTTGGGAGTGCATGAAGGCTGGTCACTCTCTGGTGAGGCGACCGCGGCAGATGGTTAGGCCGCTCTGTGCCTCAGTCTCCTTACCCATAAAACGATTGCAGTCACGAGTCCACCTCCCAGGCTTACTGCGGAGCTCTGCGGTTAACGCAGGTGAATGTTAGGACCATGCTGGGCACACAGCACCTACCGGCACTGGCTGCTGTTATTTTCCTGTGGGGCCCACTGAGGTCTCTTACGGCTATATGAACTTGAAGCAAAAAAATCTTACAGTGGGGAGTGTGTGGTGGATGACGGTGGGAGAGGAAATCAGAAGCAGATAGACCGGGCTTAGTTGTGCCTCTGACCATGGGAATTCACCCCGGAAAGCTTCACTCCTTTCCCTCTCTCCTTCCCTTCTTTTCTTCCTTCCTTCCTTCTTTCCTTCCCTCTCTCCTTGCCTCCCTCTTTTCCTCCCTCCTTTCCTTGTACTAGAGTTTGAACCCAGAACCTTTTCACTGAGCTACAACCTGACCATTTTTTATGTTTTATTTTGAGACAGTGTCTCACTAAGTCATTAAGTTGGCCAGGCTGGGGATGAACTCGCAGTCCTCCTGCCTCAGCCTCCCCAAATGCTGGCATTACAGGCATGTGTCAGCATGCCCAGTTCCTTTTCTCATTAAAAAAAAAAAAAAAACAACCAGCTGAATAAGGATCTGAAATGCAGCTCTTGGATACTTTCTGAATGTGAAGAGTTAGTAACATCGTCGTCCTCAGGGTGAACAGTCATTTTTCACTGATGGGCACACTGCCATCTCCAAGACTACCATCCTCTCCAACTTTCTCTGAGATTTAAAAAAACTGTTTTCTTGCCCCCATTTTTTCTTGGTGGTTTATCAGAATGATTTGAACTTTGCAATGAAGAAGATCTCAGTTGAGAGCTTCAGAGCTGTGTGCTCTTGGGTGAGTCATTTCACCTCTGTGAGATAAATAAAGTGTGTAGTGAAAGCCCTGGAAAGTGAGGCATACACATGAGGATCCAAGGTGGCTGAAGCTCATTTTCCTAGTGGGGCTGAGGCGGGCATGCACCTTGCTGTCTTCCTCTCAGGCTCCCAAAACCTTCCTTCACTTGACCGTGTCCGCCAGGATTTCTCCGGAGAATTTGATTTCCAGGTTGTGCAACACTGCCTGAGGGATCTAAGCTCAAACGCGGCGCTCCAGTGACACGGGCCGCCATGTCTGTCCTGTCCGACTGGGTGGGGTTTGTCCTGTGTGGGGATGGTCACCTTCTTAGCCCCTCTTCCAGTCACTTGGTCACACAGAGCTGAGGGGGCGAGAGGCAAGAGGCTTTGCCACAGACCAGTGAGGAAATGAGACCTCTCTGTTCTTTGTCAGGAAAACAAGAAAGTCCTGTCCTGTGTGAGGCTGTTATGTGTGTCCCTGCTCCGGACAATCTACTCCAGTAAATGGAAATGAAATTGCTCCATTCAGTTTCCAAATGCCACATTAAAAAAACAAAACTGACAGACAAAACAAAAACCTCCCAGGCTGCAAGGGATAATCCAAAACCAAATAACTGGTTACAATGTTTTCCAGAAATAATTAGACTTAATTTTCAGCCCAAGAAACGCAGTCATCAGTGCCGTCTCGGAATCGCAGGGTTCTGTCAAGCTCTTGGGGGAAGAAGTGCTGTGCTGTCGGACTGCATCGCCACGGTGGTTACTGTCACCCCAAGATCATTTCAACCTCATCACAGCCCTGTGAGGCGGGGACGTCTGTCCTCCCCACTGCAGAGGTGACACTCGGAGCGCAGTGAGGCTAGTGACATAACGAGCCCATAGGCAGCTGGAATTTAACCAGAGTTCAAAACCACTCTGCAGTCCTGCCTCTCGGGGTCAAGAAGTGGCTCCTATACCCAGCACCAGGGGCAGTGGCTCCCAAGACTTCCGGGCCTGCTGGTGCGTCAGAGTTCGAGGAAGGGTTCGTGCTGACACCCAGTTCCTACAGCACCTTCCCCTGCCCTAAGTGCCTGGGACCCATCAGGACCTCAATGTTACACTTGTCCCTGGCCCACACTGAGGGAGTGGAGCCTTGGTGGGGTTCATCCACCTCTCTGAGGTCTCACACTGATGACACCTGTGTAAGTCCCTGTCTACATCAGGCTCTGGGCTTAGGCCCAGGGAGGCAGCAGGGCAAGGGTCGACCTCAGAGGCAGACCTGCAGCCTGGTGATCTGATGCCAGCAGACCTTGGTATTCCTGTCTCTAAAATGGGCAGCAGCAATGAGAATGCAGGCTTCTTTGCAGCAGAGAACTTGTCTGCTTTGCTCATGCCAGGAGCCTCAGAATGCTGTGTAATATCTGACCTGGCTTGTAGTAAATGCTCAACATGTATTTTTAAGCATAAACAGGGGAATAAAAAACATACTGTTTCTGTAGGGATTAAACAAGATACTGTATGTGTAATGCATAACAGAACTGGGTGCTCAAAAAAAGGCAACTACAGTTGGCTATTCATATCCACAGGTCTGCACTCATAGATTCAACCAAGTGTGGACCAGAAATGTTTGAAAAACAAATTGCATCTGTACTGAACATGTACAGAACTTTTTCATGCCATTATGCCCTAAACAATATAATGACTATTTACATGGCATTTCTGTGAGGCATTATGAGTAGTGTGCTGGTGATTTAAAGTGTATGGAGGATGCACGTAGGTTATATGCAAATATGACACCACTTTACACAGGGATGCGAGTGTCCTAGGGTTTTCCTATTTGCAGGGGCCCTGGAATCAGTCCGCTGCCAGTAACAAGGTGCAACTGTGCCCTGGTCATTGCATCAGACTTTTATTTTCATTATCATGCTGCACTCTCCCAAGAAAGTCATGAGATACGTCTTGCTATGTGCCCCATTTTTTTGCAGGAAAAACCAAACCAGTACGAAGTCAAAGAATTCTTAGAGGAGAGGTCATGCCTTTCAATAAAAACCGTGCCTTAAAAATAAAGTCACAGCAAGTCCCTGTTGGGCGGTTGCAGAGTCCAGGGACAAGAGGCAGGCTGTGGGACTTGGGACTTTGGGTCTGGAGGTGTTCCCTCCCGAGTCCTGCACCTCTGAGGGTACCCCAGGACCGTGGGTGGGCCCCACCCTGCATCTGCCATCAGCAGAGACTGAGTGCCCAGCTGTGCCATTACCGAGGATAATAGGAATCCTAATGAATTACAGGCTGATGAGTCGTTGATTGCAGGGGAGAAAAAAATTACAAGTGAGCTGATTGAAACTCTTAATAAAGCTCATTCTTAGGGAAGGGTCTAACTTGGCAGGGGAGGGCTGGGGATACCATGGGAGTTTTTTAGATGGTTCTGATGGTCAAATTGGAAGCATTTCTTGTCTCTGTGCTTATCTAAACCAGACCATTTTCTACACACTATGGACTGTCTGGTTCCTATGCAGGAACCCTTAGGGCAAGGGTAGTATCCTGGTGTGAACATAGCTGATGTACATCTGGGACACAAAGGAGTCCAGGCACTAGTGTGGAGAATAAGGAAACAACAAAAGGAGAGCAAGATGCCACCGGGTGAGAACGTACAGATTCATTTTTGGTTTTTTTTTTTTTTGTTTTTCTCTGGTACCGGGAACCGAACTCACGACCTTGCGCTTGCCAGGCAGGCGCTTTTGCCGCTGAGCTAAATCCCCAGCCCCCCAGATTCATTTTTGAATTCCAATAGTAAAAGGGCTATAGAAATTGATCACTAAAACTTGACCCATGCAAAAGCAACTATGCTGGGGGTCATAACTTCCTGTGCTGTAAATCTGCAGACAGGCCAGCTGCCCCTTAGCAGGCATCACCCCTTGGTGTCCCTTCCTCCCAAAGTACTCTCTCAGCCAGCAGAAGTGTCACCTAATCTAATTGCAAATGCCCTGACAAGGCCCACACCTCTCCTGGGATGCATTACTACTGGCTTTTCAATACGCCACCACCTGTGTGCGCCCTTATAGACAGGGAGCAGCCAGAGGGCATCTAATGTCAACATTAATTGCAATTTAGTACAGCTCGCTGGAGAGGACCTTGGGGAGAGGGGCGAGGGAAATCAAATGTGGTGACTGGAAAACAGCATGAGAATCAGGAGAGGATATACCTGGAATCCTCTGGAATGGACAGAAAACACCTCTGAATTCACTGGCCTCCAGCCAGCCAGGACTGCTCTGGATTCGGGGCAGTGCAGCTTACACAACTCTTGAGAACATGTTCTATGTCGAGCACGGTGCCAAACACAGATTGGGGACAAGAGCTGTGTCCTCAGGTGAGTAGTGGAGGCTGGGGGTTCAGATACCGAGATGGATCCAAAGATCGACTAGTCTGGATTGGGATGGTAGCTAGAGAGAGCCGGGCTCTCACCTGCCCTTCTCCAGGAGGTCACCATCTAGAGGACCTGCAAACGTCTGACAGGGCAGTGGGGTTTCTGTTTTACCATCTGGGGACCTGATCAGGGGCCCTTGGAAAGCTGGGTGGTTCGGGGAAGCTCGTTCAGCACCTCCCAGGGAGCCCAGGACTCTTGATGTCTCTCTAGACCAGGGTGTGAGCCTATAGCACATGTGTTATTACTGTGTTTTTCTTTTAAGACAAAAGATGTTAATATAGCATTGTTTCTTCTAAACAAAAACCTCAGGATTCAGTTTTAATTGCAGTGCTGGCACTTTGGGATAAATAAGTGGGCTTTGAGCTAGAGTGTGGCTCTCGGGCTCTAAAAGGTTCACTGTCATTGCTCTAGAGGCAGCCTGCAGGCAGGCCCAGTGTGGGAAACCAAAGCAGCCTGGTGGCTCTGGGCTTCCCTCCACATTTAAGGGCAAGACAGCTGCTGCCCCCCTGAGGGCCTTTCGTGGAGGGGAGCAGCCCTGGAGAAGGGCTGGGGATGCTCCACTGTGGAGTCTGCAGTCCTCGGGACACCCAGGGTGGGACAATGTATCCAGGGCCACCCATGGCGGAAGGCTGGCTTTGGACACAGCTGGTGGTGGTGGTGGTGGGCGCAGGGGAACTGCACACACTGTCCTATCATGAGCCCTGGCAGCAAGCAAACCAGAAGCTGGCAACTCCCATAGGAAGAGACCCGGACCCCAGGCCAAGGAGGGAGTGGGTTGCTGGGGGAATCTGCCTGGGCCAGGGCCCAGGCCCCAGCTCGGGTCCTCAGCCTGTTCATCCCTCTTCTGTTTGCCAGGTCCTCCCCTGTTCGCTTTCTTCTCCTGCATGTGTATACATGTCTATGCAACACTGCATCCTGTTATATGTTTATATATGCAATACCCATGTGTTTGTAAGGCACATAGCTATTCATTTTTGATGTTTCTTCATCCTTCTATCCACTCACACTCGCCATACTGACATTCACTCTATCACACACATTCTCATACTAATTCACTCCCACATACTGACA